TTACCGCAACAAGAACTCCAGCGACGAGGATTTCGAGCTGATTAACCAAACGTACAAGCAGATCATGTCCGAGGACAAAGACCTCTGCACAAACGCCCAGAAGAACCTGAGTGATCACACGGAGAAGGGATCCCTCGACCTCCAGATGGTTGTGCGCGAGCTTGTTAAGGAGCACTACAAGAAAGAGCAGGAAGCAGGTCGCGAGATCTGGCCAACTCGCCAAACACTCCCCACAGCCGCCACCACCAGCGAGGAAGACATGACCTTCTGTAACAAGCTGGATGCTCAGTCCAAGGGCTCAACATCGGCCGGCGGGTGCTGTGGTGGCGGCTGCCAACCTAAAGAAACTCTTGTCTTTTAGAATTGCATATCTAATTGTCTAGCGTTGCATTTTTCTTTTTGGGTCGCAAGGGGAATAGCGGATCATCATATTTCAGGAGTATTCTTTTTTTTTCTTTTGACCACATCATTGCTTACAGGAATATCACGGTCAGAGTGGCGTGTGATTGCTACATTGGAGTCTACAGTGCATAGTACCTAGACAGTTATTATGATATCATTTTTTGACTTATCATTCACAAACATAGATGCTATGCGGGGTTCCATACTGTATAATTCTGAGCTAGATAAGACAATCTGGTGTGGTTGGGCTGGCTTTCTTTCAATTTTTTTTTTTGTTTTTTTGTTTTTTTGGAGATCTCCGCTGCCCTTCATTGTCTGAACGTAATAGATAGGTAATTCCCTGATTAGATATGCATTTCCATGATAGCGATGCTGAACTCAATGGTGGGGTTCTCAAAGATCGACAACTCGTTGGCTAGTATCATATGTAATCCAACGATTGTGAACGAACGATCTGCCTTTTCTCATTCCCTTTCCGTAAAAGTGTCCAGAAGGAGTTAAAACTCCAATTCACGGACCCCCTGTCAGGAATTCTGCGGGAATGTTTGCGATACCTATTCTACATGCTAGTGGCGGGTAGTCACCAAAAGAGAGAGGAAATCCATAAAAATAAAAGAGAAGTCTAACAATAGTTTATGTGGGGGAAGCGGCTAGTAATTGCTCGCAGGGAACTTTTAACCGTTTCAAGGAAAAGTTCCAAGAATGAAAAGTCTGGGTGGGAATCTAGATCCTGCAATCTCAGACTGGATCCACGGGTTGGCGTCGTCTTAGGGCCAAACCAGGGCGGGGTCACGAGGCTGTCATTTGCCCTTTCTATCGACAGCTGCAGCGTCAACTCCATTGCAAGTATTCGGGATCTTATCGGGAATTCTCCTACCCTCCTTTTTTGCATTCGGTGGGTTTTTATTATTATTATTTGATATTATTTTTTTTTCTTTTTCCTTTCCCCCCCTCCTTCGTTCTTCCCTGCTACACGCTGGATTCACCATGACTGGCCATTGCGGGGGTATTTATCATAGCCCCTTACATCACCGTAGAGCTATATCCTTTGATTAACTTTCTCTATTCCTTATGGTCATTGTACCTCACTTCTTTCAACCATGTCTCTTGTCTTTTGTTTGCAGCGAGTATGATGACACGGGAGAGCAATCGTGGGAGGTTGCGTTCACATGAGGCCTGCCTGAACTGCAGGTAAGTCGCTTCCCAAACGCCCCGCCTGTTCTTCGTTTTGTTCTCTTGTAGACGCCAACAACCTATATCTACAGGAGAAAGAAAACTCGTTGTCCGGCAGAAAGGCCGTCTTGTTCAAACTGCGTCCGCCTAAATCAGCCGTGTCTCTATACGTCGGCCCGGAGGGCATCGCGGGGTGGACAATCTGTATGTAACAAATCTCTCCCATCATCTACTGATTGGACATGGATTCACAAATATCTTAGGAAGACCGGCTGGCATCTTTGGAAGAGAAGGTAAATCTCATCCTAAGTGGCTCCAGGTAGAGAGTATACTGCAACCCGCTCCGTCAGAATGTTCTTCTGACCCTTCTTTCTAGACCGGTCAAGGCGGCCCGTCAAGACCAAAAACGCGAGGAGCTCGACGATATACCAGAGGCACCCTACTCCAAGAACAGCAACCCCCCTTCTGGCGAACCAGCTTTTGAGCGCTTCTCTCCCGGGTCAGGTACTTTTTCTTTTGGATTCAGCAATAATGAGGACTCAAACCCCCATCCCTCTTCAGCGGCAGTCAGCAAAGCCTTGGAACTGTATTTCCATTACTGTCATCGGCAGCCGATATGGTGCTTCGATTATGAAGATCTCGAGGACAAGGGCAGTCTATCTGACGAGCTTATCTATAGCGTCCTAGCGCTGGCCGCGCGCTTTTCGCGTGAACCGGGCCAGTCGCAGCGTTATGGAAATACCGCGCGAACGCTGATCATGCTTCGCGTGGCAAATGGCACAGTGGACCTCGAAACCATCGAAAGTCTATGTCTGCTTTCGTATTCTTCATTCATCGGTATGATTGATTATTCAGAAAGGACTGTTATAGACGATGCACTTACTAACAGGAAATAGACGGGGACGTGCACCTCGGTCGGTTTCATCTTGGTCTCGCTTTTCAGCTTTGTCGGTCCGCGATGATGGACGTGGAATCCGGCTATCCTCCTGAAAGTCCTCTGACTGAGCGAAAGAAACGCTTGTTTTGGAGTCTTCAATCACTGGAACAGACATACGGCCAACAAAATGGATTTCTCAGCCTCCCGGCCGAGAACCTACGTCCTTTCTGTGCTCCCCACGGTGGAGGCCGGGGATTTACAAAAGATTTCGAACCAAAGCCTCCCCAGTTACCGCGGGATGATATCGGGTGTTCCTCGCCCAACGACATAGGCATTTGGAGCCTGGCGGTCCATTTCGGATGGGTTTGGAGCAGAGTTCGCACCTATGTGTCCGACTGTGCACAAAATCGACTAAAGGAGCCCTGGCGCCACGATTCAATGTACACGATGATACTCTCGGACTTGACTGAGGTGGAGAACAAGCTATCTCAGTGCCACCGATACGACTCAGTCAGATTCTACGAGCGGAGGTCAGAGGAGCTGAGAATGAATCGGGGATACTGGACGCCATGGCTGAAAGCGCAGTTCACGTATCACTGCATTCTGACTGTACTTAACCACCCTTTCCTCTACATTGTGGCATCACAGTCGAATCCGAATCTCTCCATCCCCAATGCCTTTTGGAGACGGTCTTCAGAGCTGGTTGTGTTGCATGCGACCTGGCTTGTCCGCATGATTGATATGGTCTCAGAAAGAAAAATGCGCCTGATTGATCCCTTTTTCGGGCACGCCGCGGCGATTGCAGCGACAGTACATCTTTATTATTGTTGCGCAGCGGATCCGCGACTTAAACAAAAATCAAAAATTGACTTCGATAAATGTCGGACGTTTCTCAAAAGTTTTGTTCCTTTCTCTGCAGCCTGCAGAGCTCTGGTAAATACCCTGCATCAAACATTCCACATCCAATACTAAATTCTTTTCAGGACCAAACTCTGGACAAGATGACACGCATTGCATGCGGCTCGGAAAACGTGAACTACGACTGGATGCCATCCAAAATTCACCTGAGTATCCCGTTGATGTGGGACCTTCTCCAGACAAACTGCATGCCGGAGCCGCAGGAGATCTCTGGTGGCTTATTGCATCCCACGTTGATACCCGCCATTTCGCGTGACGACGCCGGGGAAAGCTCTACGCTGGAGGTCATCGTGGCCATGTCACCTGAAGTCACGGTCAATACGGCAGATGGCGGACAGGCCGTCCATATGCAACCCAGTGTGGCCAACATGTCATCCGTGCAATCTTCACCGGACAGCCTCGCATTCGCCGACAAGTTGGTCGCACCGGCTGACAGTCTCATGATGAATACTCCATGGCTCTGGACGGGCCAGTTCCCAGATGTGGATAATATGGATTACCAAGAACCCGAGTCCGGCATGGGGAATATCGACGGATTTTCCGCCTGGTGGGACATTGGGAATCTCTAAGTCCTTGTGCGCGTTCGCGTTCTGCTTAGCTTTCTGCTGGTATCTTGATGAGGTTCGGGTCTATGACATGAGATGAGAATTGCATGTACTTTTATAGCGTTGTTAGTATCTACGACTTAGATGGTGCGGAGTTTACCTGGTTTGATCTAGCGAATATACGAGGAAAATATGATGAAGTTTGAGAAATTGTTGATATTTGTCCACGACGTGTTATGCCAGGTGAATTGTGCAGATTACGTAACTCTTTGCATAAACTATTTTGTACCCATCATGACTCTTCATTTTGCCGTGTTGTCTGCCCGGGCGGTGAAGGGGAGTTCTCAATGCCGCGCGCCATACCCAAAGACGTTAGCCCGGTCACCTTCATATTGAACCCTTTTCTCGTCTCTTGGATTCCGATACAGCAACCGTTTCTCGCAATCGTCATTCGCAGACCAGCCTCCATAGTACAGCCTTATAGAGACGGCTGTTATGGTAATCGGAGCAAAACAGTCGTGCCTAATGTGCACTGTGATGACCCCACATTGTGAATCACTTCGTGATCCAATACGGAATAGACAAGTCTCCACAGCTGCATTCTTGGGTTCCATCGCCTATCGCTTGCCATGCATGCCATCGGACTAATGATTAGCATGCTCTCGTTCTTGGAAATTGTCTCTCTTCCGTATATCTGAATTATTGTCTGGTAGAATCTATTCAATACATGTGACTGAAACGCAACAAATGTCGCTCTATAATCCGGCGCTTGTCCGTGGGAGGGAAAGAAAGGGAAAAAAAAAAATTAAAATTAAAAATTAAAAAGGGAGAGTCTTCCTGCAAAACTGGCATTAGCTCCCCCACCACATTTCCCAGTGGACCGAGGGGAAGCGACCACCTCACAAATTGAGTGGCAGAGGGAGAAGCAAGGAATATAGTGTTACATGAAGAGTGGCGGGAAAGAAAGATGGGGACGAACGTCAGTCATTCTAGTTCGAGTAAAAGCAGACTGGTAAAAGTCTTCTCAAGACCTGAGTGTCCATTTTATGACCGTTAATTATCTCATAACCCTTGCCACATCAATCATGAACTCTCCCCAACCAATTATCTTGTATGATATCGCATCCTGACCGCTGGTTAGGTGTTTCGCTCCCAATCCGTGGAAAGCACGGTAGGTTCTCAACGCTATTCGCTTGAAAACAAAGTTACCATGCGAGAAAGACACTAACTAACTAACGCTACCGCTAAGATACGCGCTGAACTTCAAAGGCTTAACATACCGGACGGAATGGGTGGATCTTCCCGAAGTAGCATCAACGCTCAAAAGGCTCGGTGTACCGCCCAGTCGGACATTCAGCGATGGCAGTCCATTCTATACCCTGCCTATAGTTGAAGATCCTTCCACTAGCGAAAAGCTGGGAGACTCGTTCGACATCGCACTCTACCTGGATAAAGCATACCCCGACGCACCACGGCTATTCCCCCCGTCGAGCGTAGGTCTACATGCCTCGTTCAACGCTCACGTGGATGCACTTTTCTCGCGCTTTGTGATCCTTTTCTTCCATGGCATGCCTTTGGATCCGGAGACGGCGGAGGTGTCCCATGCGACCTTTGCGGCCAGAGCCGGGGTGAAAGGCTGGGATGAGCTGACGGTCACTGGGAAGGCCGGACAGATTACTCTGGAAGGATTCAAATCCGCTCTCACCGAGTTGGCCAAGTTACACAGCTATACAGAGGGTCCATTTTTGGAGGGCAATACCGTATCGTATGCTGATTTCATCGTTGGTGGTTGGCTGCAGTTTGCGAAAGTATCGCTTCCTGAATGGGGTGAACTGCAGAAATGGCATGAGGCACGGTGGGAAAGACTACAGCTCGCGTTGGAGAAGTACGCAAAGGTTGCATAGATGACTACCTCTGGTCCACGAGGTTGCTGTACGACTCGTCAGACTGCCTCAGCGGGGCAAAAGTGGTTTTCCTTCACGGCGAAGTTCTCCAGATAACAACAGAACACGAAAACAGCGGCATCAATCCTTCCTATACTATCAACTATAGATCAAATACGATCTATAATTTATTTCTGCGGATGCTATTGTTCTTGTAGGCCGACTAAAGTAGCGAAAGCACGCTTTTTAGTAGATTTCTGACACAACATGCCTATTCGCTAAGGTCAGCTTACACCCTATACTGTGTATGATATAGATTTTGCCGTAAAGGGAAAGAAGCGTCCAAAGGCGGCCAAAACCCACCGGAAGGGGCTTAGCGTAGTTTATCACTTCCTATTCCGTTCCAGGAATTACCTTGTTAGTCGACAAGCGTCAAACCACCAATGGATGAGATTCATTGCTATATTTTAGCATATAACATTGAGTAGCCCTCAGGTCCTCAGTCCCACCAGAGAGCTGTGCTTATTGCAACAGAAAAGCAAAACAACGTCATGGAGAATATGACAACAAGAAGGTCTAGGGCAAACTTATCTGGTAGCATATGAGCGTCGCCGTGATTCAAGAAATATATATTTCAGCAATCCTCGCAGGCACCACCAGCCAAACCATCACTGGCATGTTCCAAGCTTAAAGCGAAGCCCTCTATAACATTCAGTTATGATCAATTTTACATCTTTCGAATAGAGAGAATTAGTCGCGAGTCACTGTTACACTAATAATACTATGCCGAGGTCATATTCTCTTTGACACAGAACAAAATAAAGAGACGGCAGATACTGCTTCCGATCCCCGAGAGGATAAGCCACCTAACCTAAATAAGCCTAGTGGTGCGGATGCCAGCCGTGGCGTCAAAACATTAGTGTCCGATCACTATTTTTGGCCTTCGGTATGTCGCTTACTAGACATCCGGGGTGTACTTTTGGGGTGTGTATTTGGTATTCAGGAGGTATGGTGTCTGTCCGAAATAGCCTGTATTTGAGACACTGAATTTGGTATGGTTCCATCTATATGATGGTTCGCATAACTCACTTGAAGGAGCTACTTAGTCTTAGATTCGCAGTGAGATGCCACGTCTGGGAAAGGTGGGGAGGGCGGGGTGGTTTTCTTTCACTTTTGGGTGTTCTTATGTCGAATTCCTTGGACCGTGGCCAAAGGACTGGCGAATATTGCACCACTAGTCCTATCACCTAAAGAACTCTCATCTAACACCCCAACATCTCCCCCGCATAACTGCTTGGTTGTTTCCCAGAATCAGCGGAAAGGTTGCAGGAAGGGAGTCTCCTTCGGCAACAAACGGAATATGAACCTGTTGAACCACGAAACGAATCGGCACGCTTGCAACATTAGTCTATAGTTGACCGTAAATGCTGCCCTGTTTGGCTTCCCTGGCGCGCGAGGAGCAACGTGATGGAACGAATTGAGTGAACTCCACCCACGAAGACTGTGGGGAGAACACTTCTCGTTCTTCCAGTTCACTTGAGTCAATACCGGGTCAATGCTTAGCCTCGTTACTATCCTCATACCGGATGTTGACGGAAAGGCAGCGTTCAATGGGCGCCCCCTTTTAAACATAATTAGGGTTGCCGCCTGCTGGTGATCTAGAATTTCCCCGAATGGGGAATTAGTGGGCCGCCAATGGTAAATTCTAGAACAAAGCCAAAGCCACACCGACCTTTCCTCAGGAGCAACTTATTTATTTTTTTTTCGTGCGAAATGCCTGTTTACCCCTATTCCGGTTCATCTCAAAGACTGGGATAGAGACTCATGCTCATCATGCGCGGAGTTTAGACAAAGAGCAGAAGAACAAAGCAGGGGATACGCCATCGATTGCTGAGACATCAACAAGGGGAAACAGCCGATCAACTTCGAATAGACGACGGGACTGTTTATTGGCATTGTGCCAGCAAGAAATGATTTCTGAATATGTCGGCGAGATCGAAGAACTTCCGCCTGACTCGCGAATGAGGTCGGGACAGCGATACCGCAAGTATCTCTACCATACAGCTCGAGCGGCAATATGGACTGCTAATGTCTATTATCTTGTCCGCTTACTTACAATTTTGCTGGAGCCTCAGAAATCCTGGCAAATGTGGTTAATGTTGGCTGTGGAAGCTATATTTGGTCGTAAGTTCAATACATGCCTTGCTCTTAAGCCGGGATACGGAGCTCTATAATGCTAATCGCCGACCAGGCTTGTCTTATCAAGATCAGCGCCTCACCGTTGCGGCCGGTGGGGAACCTGAACGCGGCCCGCGAAAAAGGCTACGGCTCCGGGGTAGCCAAAATCTGCCACGAGTCGATGTCTTGATCCCCTGCTGCGGTGAGCCAGTTAGTGTGATCTTGGCCACCGTTCGCGCTGCCTGCACTATGGACTACCCAGAGTCTCAGCTAACGATACGTGTCCTTGACGATGGCGCTTCAACCGAGCTGCGTGATGCCATCTCAGAGTTGCACACTAAGTGGCCTTACCTCTTCTATCACACACGCGGCAGGCAGTCAGGCCGAGTATTTGCCAAAGCCGGAAACCTGAACTATGCACTATTCACTGTTCAGAAGGATACTCCACCGGAGTTCTGTGCTATTCTGGATGCGGATTCTATCCCAAAGCCAGAGCTTCTCAGAGCAACACTTCCCCACTTGCTTCTAAGCCCCCAGGCAGCGTTGGTCACTACCCGGCAATATTTTGACAATCTTCCTGCTGGTGACCCTCTCTCGCAATCTCGCCTTCATTTTTACACCTGCCAGAACGCCGAACTAGACCGCTGTGGGCGTGCTATTGATGCAGGGTCCGGAGCGGTGTTCCGGCGCAACGCAATCATTGATATTGGTGGATATCCCACTTTTTCATTTTCGGAAGATTGGCAGCTTTCCCTGATCTTACGGGGCATGGGTTACCGTACTGTCCAGGTACAAGAGCCACTGCAATTCGGGCTTGTTCCCACATCCCTCGAAGGGCACATTGCTCAGAGAAACCGATGGCACATTGGGCATTCCCAGCAGCTGTTTGCATTACGGCCACCGACTAACAGTTCCATGCCACGGAACCTTCAGTGGAGCATTGCATGCGGTGGTTTGGCCATCACTCTAGGCTTGCTAGGCCACATCATCGGATTTGGTGCTGTTCCTTGGCTTTTAATGTCCCGGTCACTCATCCCCGCCTCTTCTTTATTCCTGATTAAGACTCAGGTGATCCTGGGCTTGCTTCATGTCTCTACAATGTGGGCGTACGGCTGGCTCCAGACTGCCCATGCGGGAATCCGAGGTTCCCCATTTTCGCAGCTGGAAAATAGTTGGCTAGCTGGCGGTAAGAAAGTCCCATTTTACCCACTTGTTTCTGCGATTGATATATGTATGATAACCACACGACTAACCCGACTGATTGCCTCGCTCTGTAGCACATCTATCTGCTGTCATACGATTTCATTTCATTTCGAGCGCTCCCAAAGGATCATTTGTCACCGGAAGCAAAGAAAACTCCTGGAATCGCATCACGAAGTCTTCATTTTACAAAATGCTATACCAGGATCTGTGGCAAAACGGCATTTTGCAAAGCATCTGCCTGCTTGTCGCTACAATTGCTGCGATGTTATTGTCAACATGGACGACACTGACCACTATCGACAGTGAGCTATTGACCACGCGTTTACTTACCACCGTTGCCTGGCCGCCACTGTTGCACATTTGCTATCTGACCATTACTAACCATTGGGTGCCGGTTGCGTACCTGTTCAGCCCTCCCGTTTATCCAGCGCGGGCATCTTAGATGACCGTACTGGTTAGCAAAGAATGGTTCTAAATGTAGACTCGATGTTGTCCAATAACGCCCACTGTGGTGCTTATTCTTGTTTTGCCTGGCACTGCCGGACTTCAGGGCGTTGCTAACCCTCGCACTATTGCTATAATAGTAGCCTTAAGGAGGGCTCTTTCCAATGCGGAATGTTGTGATGTTACCCGAGGTTGATCGTTTCACTGACATTGCTACTTGGTGCTAATCAGAAAGGCAGTATAAGCGTAGTGCATGTCTAATATGTCTCTGAATTTATGTTGTCTGCTCTATCTATCTATTATCTGTTTGTTAATCTCGCTGTCCTGATTTTCACAATCTCTAACCCCCAGCTACCTGACTTGCTATAGACCAGAGTGCTTACCTAGATAGCGAATTTATGCAATAGCTGTTCATTGGTGTAGATTTAAATTTAAATTTAAATTTTTTTTTAATTCTCATTTTCTAATTCATGTCCGTTACGAGAGCGTATAGGCCTGGTCATGTGACAGCCTCGGGTTTGGCATCGGGAATGAACTTTTCGTAGTACTTTTTCTCAACTACTCTCTTCAAATCCGAAACTCATCCCCGCTCCTCTGAAAGTCTCATTGATCGGGTTTCTTGGCAGTCAAAACAGTGCTTTCCTGGCAACGGAGACTAGCAAGCGGAAGTATGCGTTCGAGTCTTTCGTGCGCGTTTTGCCGGTGAGTAGTACATCAATCAACATTACCCTCGGTAAACTAGAGGTCAACCCGGAGCTCACCCATAGGTCCGATGGTGCAGAAAATCCAAAATTAAGTGTGTCAACACCGGTAGTCCACCATGTCAGAAGTGTCAGAAATCGGAGATTCCTGGTTGCGTTCTTACCAGACCGAGACATGTAGCCTCGAGGGTTTCCCGAAGGCGAGGCCAGTTACGGCGTAGGAATGACGATCAAAAGGATGATCACGAAGAACAAACAAGATCACAGCCGGTCTCATCAGATAATGGACACAATAGACCACATTTAACACCGGAATGTTTCAGCGGTGAGGTGGACATCTCACAGATCGACGAACATCTCGCTAGTCTTCCGACAAGTGTGATCCTCAAGTCGTTGAATGTTTTTACGAACAAATTCCCGGAGCTGGGAATTCTTCATCTCCCAACCCTCATGCAAGCGTTCCAGTCGGAGTGCTCGAAGGAGACGAAAGTCCTTCTCGGTGTTACCCTTCTGGTAACGAAAACTCAACTATCGTTGCTCAACCCATCTTGGGCAAACAGTTTGCTGCCCAGTAAGCATTATGAATACTACATCCGGCAGAGCCTCTCAGAGCTCATTCTCCAGCCACCTGATATACAAGTCGTTCAGGCACTCCTGATGATGGCACTCTACGAGTGGGGATGTCGGGACTTCCATAAGGCGTGGGTCTACTGCGGTACGTCATCTCGGAAGCGCCTCCGTGGGATAATTGCAAGGCTGAACGGGTATACTAGGTATCGCAATCCGAATCATGCAATCCATACAAAGTCGACGTATTGCCCCGTATCCCCTCGATACTGACATCAACCCGGGTGTAGCAAAAGATACGGTCGCTCCGGGCATAGAGAATAGAACGATTTGGGCCTGTTTTATCATGGACCGTATGATCAGCTCGGGCACTTACAACCCACCCATGCTTCCCATGTCGGAGATGGAAAAGTTGAAAGTCTCGCGGCCTTTGAGTACCGTGGAATTTGCCTTTGGCACCAACGTAAGCCTTTATCCCGGGCACACAGGGCAAAACCTCACCTGGTCTGAGCGTCTGCCGTCGGGCCATCTTGATATAACCCAGTGCTACGAGATTTTAGTTTCTGGCTTTGATATCTGGGCACAAGTAATGACTTTTATCTTTAACGACGGACGTCGGGCACCGGGGATGTGCGCCCCAGAGAATTGCCCTTGGGTCCCAGGGTCTCCGTGGTCTAGAACTAAGGCCCAGTTGGAAAGGTGGAGGGCTGGCCAACATGATCGCCTTCACTACCCGAGTAACAGTGTTGCGATCCACATGACCTTGGGATATGGAGAGTCATTTACTTATATCAATCTTCTTTATTATCTGAGGTTGGCCGCCCTAGTTTCTCAACCCACTACAGTAAGACTAATGCGTGTTTGTATATAGCACTCTTATGCTCCACCGTGAATATTTTCCATTCATGCCAACCGCGGAGTCGGGCCCGAGGGGACCTGTGGACCACCCTCTGCTCGAAGCGGAAGCCCCGGTTGGCTGGTGGGAGTCAAGCGCACTAGAGCTGTTCACTGCAGCGGAACACATTGCAAGGCTTTTACACGAAGCATCAGAATGTGGAGCCCATCTGATGACTCCCTTTGTTGGATTCTGTGCTTTTTCCGCGTCGTATATGAATCTCTACATCTACCGATTTCCTCGCATGAACCTTGGTCGTAGCCCTCAGGCTGAACAGCTGATGAACTTTTGTCTTGCTTACTTGGAAGAGTTTCGACACGTCTGGAAGCTGGGAGAGGCATGGGTGCGTCTCTTTGCTATCGAATTATATTTCTTGCATGACGAAACTCTAACGTTCCATTAGGTATCTACACTCAAACATGCCTCGCTCTTATACGAGCGCGCTTCCGCTGACAGGGGAAGATACCTGGGAAAGACTCGGCAGGACTTCGATCATCTTCACCAATCCATACACGAGTTCAGAGTTGTTGACCGATCGAACCAGCATATACAAGAGATCGAAGGAGCCGAGGGGGCAAGCCCAGGAGCGACATATAGTCAGCCCGCACAACGGATGGTCCCTAGCTCTGAGTCGGATAATCTTAGTGCACCGCTCACTCATCTGCTTACGGAGGTCAGCACTTATTCTCATGAACAGGGCGCATGGTCACAGTGGTGGCCTACGTTGGAGGACATCGATCTTGCACTAGTCTCAGGATGATAGCTCTGCGGCAAAGTCGCAACATCATACTTTAACGAGCAAGTGCGTTGAATACATCGAGCGCAGAACGATCGTGAAAAGAAGGCCAACTATGGACATAGCACCTGCATAGTATGCCGCTGGCCGATATGCCTCGATATTGTCCGCTTTCCCGGAAAGCGAATAAATTCCGGATGCAATGGGTGACCCCTGTGCCGGATTAGTACAACATCATGATTTAGAGCAAGTGAAGGATGTCATCAGCTTACAAAGAAGAAGCCCACGAACCATCCTGCCCAGATGATCGGTAGTATCCCAAGTGTGTTCTTGCCGCCAAACATCGCGCCTATAGTGCTGGGAACTAGACTGAAAAACGCTCCACATCCGAACCCATTTAGTACAATGAATACGGATAACACGCCCGTTGTACTAGAGAAAGGCCAGATGACAAGAGCACTGAGCCCGGCCAATATGAGTGAGAGGATCAGACTGTTGATCGGACCCAAAACTGAGTCTGATAAGTAGCCGGCCAGGACCCGTCCCATGGTGGAGGCGACATTCCAAATGGCCAACATGATGACCGCGATATGCTGAGAATGGGTAACCGACCGCGCAAAGATAGGAATAAAGTATGGGGGAACAAAAAGGGGAAAGCAAGCCAGCCCGGTGCCGACGAATAAGATAAGGAACTCCTTTTCGCGGAAACGATACCTGTACGGCCCAGAATGTCAGAATTCCTTCTGGGGTTTGACAGTACAATAGGCAATTCTCACCATTGCGGGCGTGGGACGGAGTTCTTCGCATGAGATGGCTGTCGGATAAGGCATGCGGCTGGAGTACACACACCCCACAGCAGAAACGCGAGAACACGGAATATCCATTCAAGTGGCAATTGCTTCACCATCATGTTGGTTGCAATACTCATGATAGCAGAGCCTAGACTCCCACCCCCAAAGACGATTCCGACGGCTAGCCCGCGGTGCTTCTCGAACCATTGCATCGGGGCAGTCGAACAAGCCTGGTTGAATTTGTGAGATAAGAAATGGCCCAATATTGCTTACTGCGACAACAGCATAGCGGATAGAAAGAAATAACATCAATTATTGAATATAGTTAATGGGAATCATACCAGAATCGTCAGGCCTCCGCCGACACCGAAGATGATACCGTGAGTAACAAACAATGCACCAACGTGCTTAGTTACCCAGCTCGCCAGGAATTCTCCTAGGCCCATAAGCACTGCTCCAACTAAAGCAGTTCGTTGATATCCCCATCTCCGAATTATCAGTCCTACCGGGATACTGATTGACACCATGAAGGACGTAGCCAGAGAGCCGACAAATGTCAATGTCGTCAAGGAAGAGGAGGTCGATTCTAGTAGCTGAACTTGCAAAACTCCCCAGGAGTAAATGATGCCGAGATAAACAAACAGCGAGCAAGCAGCGGCTCCCACGACTATCCATCCTCTCCAACCATCCACAACATCGTCATGGGGACATGAGGACTCGCTCTCGGTTGTGGTAGGGAATGGAGCCTCTGCTTTTGTGTGGGGCGCTGAAGGGCCTTTGCCAGTTTCCTCCATGACTCACAACACATGTATTCTTCCAAAGTGCGTCTTGTCTTGTAGGCTCAACCGGTGCCAATATCGTTTGTAACGAAATTCTTACCCTCTCAAGGAGGTATCCCGAATTTCAAGCATTTTGTGCGTCTAACGCGTTCTTATACAACCGAGAAAACTGACATTACCTCAGAAGATCCACAGTATGACTTTTAGCACAAGACTAATTATCGTGAGGACTTGCTTGGACCCGAGGGATGACGATCAAGTCACTTGCACAGTCTCCAAGTCGAGTTTTGAAATCCGAGGTTCTGCTGCCTTTTCCCGGTACCAACAAACCCGATGTTGCTTCAAACCCGATGATAAGGAATTCACTCAATCCCACCCCGCCTTATTGATAATACCTTCTTCTATGCTGCACTCAAATATGAATGCTTCACTGACCTGGCCTTTATATTTCAGGCCGCAGAGTCCACACATTGATCATAGTTTGTTTGTAGAGGCAAGAAAAAGCTTCGGCTATTCGCCGGGGGTTGATGGGCTACGGGGAATACAACTCTTATGGCTGCTACGAAGTGATAGATGACATATTGTACTATACCTTCGCTTGCCTGAATGCGAAAAAAAAAGGAAAATAAAAAAGGAGGTTGGCGGAGAGTCGTGTCGTGGTAAGACAAGATCCACATAGGTTACCTCAAGCAATTGCCACGATATTCGGAGAAGATAGATCTGGACGGTGACTCGAGGCGATCCGTCCCACAATATTCTACCGGATATGTTCATGGTATTGGCTGTTAGAGACGAGAAGGGTCAGTTAATCTGGCTTATCAGTCTGAAATGTTGCTGCGAAAGCCGAGTGGATTTCGGCTTTCGGGTTTAAAAGAAGTCGTGAACGCTAGAACATCCTCAACATCCCCCATGTATATATTCTTGGTTAATCGCGATCGAGTCCATCATTCTGCGGCTCATATAATATAACGTGCGGGTGAGTCTCTGTCTCCTGGCTCTTCTTACACTGGAAGCGCTCCGCCTCTTAAAGCATTGAATAGGTTTCGAGAGTATACTCATACCTCTCTCTCAACAATTCATTTTTACCAAAATGGCACCTTCCAGGGTAGATGATGACTTACAGCCAAGGCCACATGAGCAAAATCTGCCAATCATGAAGCCAAACGGCGAAGGTCATCTTCTGCATCGTTCCCTCATAGAACATCCCGTCATGGTGGAGAAGGCTAAAGGGCTGACGCTACACCTTTCCGATGGTCGAACTGTTCTCGATGCTTGTGCTGGCGCCGCAGTTGCCTTAATCGGCCACGGTAGGGAAGAGGTTCATCAAGCCATTATGAAACAGATGCAGAATGTCAGCTATATCCATACACAGTCTTACACCACTTCTTCGGCGGAGGAGCTGGCCGACTTTCTTCTGAGCGGAAACCCCTACGGGCTCGAGAAGGCATTTTTTGTTGGCAGTGGCAGCGAGGCGGTTGAGTCCGCTTTAAAGCTCGCGCGACAGTATCATTATGAGAAAAATGAGCCTGACCGACTTCATTTTGTCTCCCGGCAGCAGAGCTATCACGGCAATACCATTGCTGCCATGTCAATTTCGTCAAATCTTGCTCGCAAGGTCCCCTTTAGTGGCTTTATGTACCCTCATACCTCTCACGTTTCCCCCGCATACGCATACCGGCACCAGATGCCGGGAGAGACAGAGGCAGAATTTACGTCCCGACTGCTGCGTGAGCTTGAGGAGGAATTCCTTCGCATCGACCCCGAGAAGATTATTGCTTTTGTAGCCGAGCCGATCGTTGGCGCAACCGCGGGTTGCGTCACAGCCCCTGCCGGATACTTTACCGGCGTCCGGGCTCTGTGCGATCGATACGGCATCCTACTGATACTTGATGAGATTATGTGTGGCGTGGGACGTTCAGGGACATTTTTCGCTTTTGAACAGGAAAACGTTGTCCCTGACATTATGACTATCGCTAAGGGACTTGGAGGTGGATATGCACCCATCGCAGGAGTCTTGGTCCACAAGAAGGTAATTGATGTGCTCCGCAAGGGCAGCAACGCTTTCAACCATGGACACACCTACCAGGCTCACCCTGTTTCTTGCGCCGCCGCATTGGCGGTCCAGCAGATCGTTCGGCGAGAGAATCTGGTTGAACGCAGCGCTGCTCTGGGACAGGTTCTGGAACAGCAACTGAGGACTGAATTGGTGCACTGCCCATCAGTTGGCGATATTCGCGGGCGAGGCCTCTTCTGGGCCGTAGAGTTCGTGCAGGACAGAGCAACCAAGGCGACATTTGATCCCACGGTTAAGTTCGGCTTGCGAGTCCAACAAGCTGCGTTCGACCGAGGATTGGCAATATATCCTGGTGCGGGGACGGTGGACGGCATGCGAGGCGACCACATCCTCCTGGCTCCTCCTTTTACTGTTACCGAGGCGGAATTGCGGCAGATCTGTGAGATCTTACGAGAGGCGATAGAATCCCAAGAAAAGGAGTATATTGGCTGTTAACACCTGGATCACATAGGCGTTATACAGGCCCATATATGTATATAAAGCTTTCTTATAGACTCAATACCCCGATTCAACATTTCGTTATGCGATACGTTGTCGATATGATATCGCTGCAAACTATTTCCGAAAAAGGCAACAAATCCCATGGTTGTGTGCTTGGGCCCAGTGTCTCTCCTCACTTCAAGATCAAATTCCCTTCATCCGGATGGTTCCAAAGATGTATAAACTCCCCTCAAGAGAACAACGGAGGACTACATAGTTGTGTAGACAATTTGCATATTTTCATTATAATATATCTGAAAACCTTGCACTATCTCTTATTTCATAGAAAGACGGCTATTTCATCGTCCTAGTATGTTTGGTAATCGTCATAAAGCAACCCATATTTATTTGCTAAGATAGTCCTAGCCTCTAAAATGCCGAAAACTAAACCGATCCTGCTTCCACCGAGTACCATCTCTAATCTTCCCTCCGAGTCATTCGAAGACCCATCCCGAGGCGAGGTATCGTGGCGCACTCTTTTCACGCAACCAAAGACCCCAACAGACAATCTTTCTGCCGGGATTGCTGTCTGTCCAGGATACTCTGGATATTTATGCAGCCATCATCATGCTCAGGCCGAGATATATTACATCCTTCAGGGTCGGGGAGTAGTGACTATTGATGGCGTGCACCATAAGGTCGAAAAGGGGTGTGCAGTTTTCATTCCGGGCGACATGGAACATTCAGTTACGAATAATGAGGAAGAAGAGTTGAAATGGCTCTATGTCTTTCCGGAAACCAAGTTTAGTGATGTTGTGTACCATTTTACCGGAAATGGGAGGCCAAAGTTATAGTTGAATTGACTATTGAATGGATATATCGGTGGCTCTCTCGGTTCATTTCAAACGGGGTCCCTTCTTTAGCAGATGTTTGTCTTTCAAGTTGAATACTCATCTTTTCGTCATCTTGTTTCTCTTGGCTTGGGTAAATCTTACATAGGTAAGGCGTATATACTGGAGAAAGCTGGTTTATCATCAGTCCCATGTCGTTCGATCATGGACCAAATTTTGGTCTATGACCCGCTTGGAAGCTCTCTTATGACATTGCCAAGGAAATCGACATTCTTCAGAGCTAGGAATTCAGGGAAAGGGAATGCATGATCTATCGAGGAAACTCACTGTCGCATTAAGTACTATCTAAAAGTATTAAGCCCTATGGTTAAATACTCCGGCGGGCATTCCGACCAATCAAGTGCGTTGCCACAGCTTTGATGCCGTCGATCTCGAGATACGTCATCGTTACGGCAGCCGCTCTTAACCCTAACGCCTCTTTTTATTTTGTCTAGTGTCTCCTGGTTTATATCGATCATACTTCCGAAATACTATTAAATCAAGAACTACTTCGTACAGCATTCTATCACTCTTATTCTATACTATGGATCATCCGCGCAAAAGTGCCCAACCGGCCGCGTCGACCAACCGTGTACCAACCGTCCGCTCGAGCCCCGTCATCAAGCGTTCAATCTCGTCTGCGACAGCCGGACTCCAAGATCAGACTGGTTTGGGGTCTACCGGTCAAGCGCAGGAACCAAACAAACAGGCCCTCAACTATAGCCTCCAGATGAAGAACGCGCTCACAGAGCTCCTTAATGACGCCCGAGCCAAGGGAAGCGATCAGGGAAGCCGCTGCCTCCAGAATATCCTCATGGAAAACGAGCGAGAAGTGAGGGAGAATAGACGGAAATCACTTAATACTCGAGGCGCGAAATGAGGACATATATTGATTATCGCGGAATGTCATCCTACCTCTTTCCCGGGAAACAAAACATTGGAAGTCTCCCGACCGTGTGCACGCATGGGGTTCTACGACGATCGTTATGTCGCTTCGAGGCATTGTAATGATGAGAGGGAGTTTTACATGCGTCGTGATGTGAGAAATATGATAATCCCTTATTTTGTGGAGAGATCAACCGGCCGACACAACGCCGAGGTGTTTCCAGAGCTGCATATGGCGTCAGAATATCATATTGGCAGTATGTATGTTCGGCCACTTCCACTATCGTGACTTCGTGCTCTCGGTAGCGAAGCATGTGTATAGCTTCTGTCTTTGCGCCGGATCTTTAATTTACTAGCACACCCATCTAAGACATATCAGTGGTAACGGGGCTGCTCTTCCAGCTCTTGTGCTTCGTTGTTGGTTCTATTAGTGCCAAACATCAGTATAGATACACACTGAGGTTCCTGGTATATGCGTTACTACTCTCAATTTGGTAACTTACCAAAGATTCATTTCTCATATCATCGTATTCAAACACTGCCAATCCCTTTCATCATCCAGTTGGAACATCTCTGTGTGCCATCAATACGCCCGAGACAAATGCCAACCATGTTGTCGAGTCATGCGAACGGGAGTTTTGGCTGCGGCTCGTAGAATTGAATGACAACTAGGTTCAAAATTCGGCTCCAGAAAGCCTTCGAAACGTGCCGAGCGACACTATAATGCAGTCGATCCTGGCAACCTGAAACGAGCTCTGGTCGATGCTCTCTCCGACCGAGGTTCAAAGCTGCTGAGAAAATCCAATACATCATGTTGAGTTTAATTGTACACCCAAAAAAGTTATTCAGGACTGAGAGCTGCGGTTCGGATACATTATCCTATGACCCTGATAGGGTTCGCGGTTCGGATACATTATCCTGTCACCCCTGATAGGGCTCGCGGTTCGGTTTGGAACCATGGAAAAAGCACAGGAGTCAGAGCGTATGACCGCGCCATGATATCATTGAGGTTGTATTGGATCAGGGGACATGATGGGTGATACAGTGGGTTGCAAAAAGTTTGAACACGTCCATTTATTGCCTAGTATAACTGATTATATTATTCTGCGTCGCAGAAAATCACCAAACTGTGTATCTAGGCCTTGAGACCCAGTATACCATCTGTCTACCCTAGTAATCAATGTCTTGCTCCTATCTAGAAGCTGTACTTTAATATGTAAATAGACATCATGTAGGTCTAAATACTGGGATTTGTTGAGAATCACAAAGGCGGTATGTAGGTGGCATTTAGGCGGTCAAGCGGACGGTTTCAAACTTTTTTGCATCCCACTGTATATGATATTTGGTGCCATTGGGGAGCTTCGTGGAATGCAGAACTCTGATCAAAAAGGAGAATAATTACACGGTTCACACCCACCGACAAAAAAACAACATCGATTCATTCCCTGTTTGCCACCGTTCTCTAGGTGTAGGCCCAAATATCTGACACAAGTTGGACAGTACGTTTTCGTTGCGTCACCAAAGCACATACTAAAGAATCTTTTGCCTCTCCTTCTGATCATATTACCCTATGGAAATCGGCAAAGCAATATGTCATAACTTAGGGGCGATTTCCGCCACTGGTTAACGTCAGCCCGTTCTTCAAAACACTTCACTCTACATAGTTGTATCTATCTTGCAATGATGGAAGACATAGTTCGACTTTTCATGGCGCGCATACGCCAGCATGTGGGCTCATCCTCTGCTTTCCATTCCACCTAATGCATCGTAAAGACCTAACATATCTTACCAGCTGACAGTGAACGACCTCGCCAAGCTGGCCCGCGTGTCGCATGAGTTGAACGATCTGGCAACACCATACCTGTACCATACAGTGAACTTCCATAGCCCAGGGCGCATCAAGCCGGATGACCAGCTGTTATTACAACTGGATATCCTCGGGGATCTCCGATTTGACAAGCTCGTATACACAAAGCGCGTGGTCGTGTCAGGATCATGGTACGACACTTATGCTGCGATTGACTCTGAGCTAGGCGAGCACCAACTTCTCTCTCCAGCAGCTCGCATGCTCAGCAACATCATTAGCAATTGTATTCTAAGGATGCCCAATTTAGAGGAGTTCATGTACTATCCACCCTTTCACCTATTCTGTTAAGGGTTGCTCAATAGTACCCATGGGTATTATCTGGAGGATGCTGGGCTAATCTACTTTCCAGCTGGGACATGCAGGTTTCACTGACACAGGTCTTGCTGACGACCGTAATGCTGCGACAGAGGCTGCGGTGCTTGCGGATCCGTATGGGTACGGACTGCACCCCGAAGCCGTTCTTTCGCCCAACCTTGAACCTCCACACAACAGTCAAGTTGAGGGTAATGCACCTCACCCAAGTCGATGACGTCTTAGTTTTACAATCCTTAGGTGTGGCTCTGAAGAATGCTACGCAACTCGAGCGCCTTTCAATATGGGCTGATGACCGTTTTGAGCTGAGCATTAGCAGTCTCGTGGAGGACTGGCACACACCCGCGCCGTTTCGATTGCGCTCTTTAGACCTCCGTGGGTTCTCCGATATAGGAATCCCAGCGAAAAGCATGTGGGCAGCAATTCCACCAACCAAACTGAGAGAACTGACGCTAGAGCTTGGGCCGAGACTCCTGGCGCAAGACTCAACAGAGTTCTGGGACGCGTCTGTTGAGGCTGAATTGCGTCCGCTTAAGTTGAGGGTTAACTTGGGTGTCAAGGGCATCCAAGACTTCATTTCTTCTTTTTCTGGTTTGGAAGCATTCAATCTTGTCCCATCTGACACACTACGACCGATGGGTCCAATCTGCGGTCTCGTCGATGCTCTTAGAAGGCACCATTCTGCTACTTTGAGGGTTCTGGGTCTGAGTTCGTTTTTGGATTGGCCGAGTTATGTGCTAGATGTACCAGATATCAAGTACTTGGTAGGGGCGCTGCCAGATATTGAAGAACTCCGCTTGAGTCAGGCGAGCTTGAATCGAGTGAGTCTTACCTCAGTAAATACCGTTCTAAGCCACCACTGACTCCGTTTTCGCATCAGGAATTCATGCAGATCGCACTGCTATTCCCCCGTTTACGTGTAGTCCAGATTGATCTAGTCCACGAAGATCCGGCTACGGAGTATATTTTTTTGGACTTCATCGTTTCTCTATTACGCAAGGGCTATGCCAGGAATCTTACCTATATAGCCTTTGACGACACTACCGTGCGTGAAATACGCCGAGATCCGATACGGCTTTCCGACAAAGCCTCTCGCGTTGGATATGTCGGTGGCACGGTCCTTTTGGATGAAGAAGTCTACGACTGGGTCAGAACATCTTTCTAAAGTCGCAAAGCTACAATGACATCGGTTATTACGCCGGATGCTACCCCTGAGGATGTAAGACATCCGCGAACTGCTCCTCTCGCTGATTTTTCAACTGTCAGCTAGTGCCCTATAGATAGTAAGCCTTCTAACACGGGTCATATACAGGACCTATGCAGCTTTCTAACCCGAAGCAACCAATCTAACCCGTATATTACTGCGTTCTACTGGAATTTGCGAGCCATGTCGGAGTGCCAAGACTCGAAGTATTAGTATGGATTCGGTTCGAGAAATTTGCGGTCGATTTGCACTTCGGACTCCGGCAATAGGCTCCATGTATTTACTTATTTGATGGTTTGGCGTTTGAGCAGCGGGACACATAGCATTGGATACATAAATACTAGCTATCTAAGGTAAATAATGGTGAAGAAGCGCTTAGGACTTGGTAGTTTTCACGACGGTCACAGGGACGACTTTCTTTGCTCGCATAATTTGCCACACCAGAGTGTCCCAATCCTACTCTTGTGTTGGAAAGCACATCATATCACATAATCCGAGGGTAGTAAAATTGCCTCAAATGGGCGATCATGACTAGAAACGGATTACCACATGAAATAGAATGTACTGTTAAAGTCTACGTTGGGGGGTGTGGGTGGGGGGGGGGAATGCGTGACTTTAGGGCTGCAGTGTCTGTTAAACCCTTATTTTCTCAAACGCCACACCAGAAGCTGCTCGTTGAAAATCCGATGCATACAAAACGACCAGTCCAGCCCTGTTACGCAGTACCTAATTCAGATTTCAATTGGGACATCTGGGGCGAAGCGTCGTCAGACAGCCACCGTGGGGATTACGTATCGAGGGTGATTTGTGGGCTGTGTAGAAGCGCCGGGTCCACTTTATCCACTCTACGCGTCAGGCACCGACCAGTCGGTCCAGAACCATGTGGGTGACCCGCCCTATTGATCGAGATTGGTTTCTAGATTGGTCTTCTGGTCCAGGGACAATGGCAGTATTGATGTAAGCTTCTGCCTAAGCATCTAAGCCCAAGGTTGCCCGGGCCAATGGAACACTTGCCCTGGACGTTCGAGACTTGGGCTCCACAGTTCGCGTGGGAAAGCGTTTCCGAATTCTGACATGACACACGACTGAGCCATACCATCGTATGGAGTAGTTTCCCACACTGCTTATGGCGTTGACCGATGTTTGCCATCTTCTCCGGCTCCACCATGAGGCATATATAGCGTTATACTCCTCCGACCTTCACCCTCTTGCATTTTTACACTGCACACACAATCCTTTCAGTTCTTTCTCTTCCTTCCTTTTGAATTTGCTTCACGTTGAGGTTGATCCTCCGACTTTCATTTCTAAATCCACATTTCTCGGCCACTCATTAGAGCCAATTTTTGACTTCCCTCCTTATTTCCACGACAACCCTTGTCACTTCTCATTCACTACCAACCATGATGCTCTCTAACATCTTTCTTTCGGCGGTCTTTGCAATGACTGCTTCTGCACTTCCTCACCAGCACCCCAGAGGTAGTCCTGCCAGCATTGCTCCGACCACCACTTCCATGACTGCCAACTCTAGCACCAGTGCTAGTGCTAGTGCTAGCCCCAGCGCCAGCGCCAGCGCAAGTGGCAGCGTCCACATTGTGAACAATCTCGGCAGCACCGTATACCTGTGGTCCACCTCCGACAGCTCCAGCGACACGCAAACCATTTCCTCTGGCGCCTCGTACTCCGAGGCCTGGAAGACCGAGTCTACCGGCGGAATCTCCATCAAGATGGCAACCACCGACAGCGAGAACAGTGTCTTGCAATTCGAGTACACCGCGGATGGCGACACCGTTTACTGGGATCTCTCGTCCATCAACCTGGGATCTGACTCGGAATTCATCACCGCTGGCTTCTCTGCCACCCCGAATGATTCGAGCTGTTCGTCTGCTTCCTGTTCAGCGGGAGATACCAACTGCGCCCAGTCGTACCAGAAGCCTGACGATACCGACACCAACAGCTGTTCTGCTAGTGCTGGCATTACCGTTACCCTGGGTTAAGAGAAAGAGTAACGGATGCATGATTGGAGGTTGGACTAGCCGTTCTTCATCAGGGAAGATACGGCGAATTTTATACGGCAAGGCAGGCCTTGCAACTTCACGGCTACGACGGAAATTGACATTATGATGCCTCTCTTTGAATTTAGAATAGATCCCAAAGTCTAGATCATAGAACACTGATTTGTTGAAGTATGGGATTTCCACACCAAACAATAAGCTCTTTTATATGTACTAGACACTATAGATAGAGTCATCTCGGATGGTGAAGCAGGAGACCTTAAGCAACTATTACAGCTGACTATGGAAATTCTATATGGTCAATATGAAGAACATAAACTATAAGTCTCGTATATAATAAGCCAATGAGGCGATGCTCCCATCGCCGTTTCTATAATTCAATGATCGCTCTAACTATATTTGAACATTCATCGTCACATCATGATTTCATTTCGTCGGACACATCCTTCCCTTCAGAGAGTTTCCGCAGTATTTCTTTTAATTGCTTCAGCGGCGTAGGCTTTGTGAGAAACATATTGGCTCCACTCATCATGGTTTCATGCTGCATAGAGGCTGACACAACTGCAGTTAGTATCAGTATAGTTGTGGGTGGCAACTTTTTCGTGCGTTCAAAATGTCGCATTTTGCGCGTGGCTGTCAAGCCGTCCATTACGGGCATAGACATATCTGCCACGAAAGTTAGCCTTATCTTGCTTTGCCATGATCGGCCCCATAAGGTTGCGACTAACCCATTACTACAGCGTCATATTTGTCGGTCTTGAACTTGTCCAAGGCTTCTTGGCCGTTGGTTGCAGTCTGGTACTTAAACCCAGCGCTCTTGACACACATCTCGATAATCTAAGTCCGGCCGTTAGAACAAATCAATCACACAAGCTCGGGTGTCAGACCTTAAGGTTGACTTGGTTATCCTCCACGAGAAGAATCTTGCCTGACAACGACTTATCCTGAGTTTCTCCGTTGTCGGACGATTCTTGCTTGTTGTCACTAGCATCACCGTCAACATCAGTCTTGCCTAGATCCTCAGAATTATCGTTGTTGGCTTGGACTTTCGGTGCCCCGTTAGGCGTCTGGGTGATATCCCTGGCAAGCTTGGGAGGGGAGTGGTCCCTTTTTGGCGTTGAGTCCCGAGAATGATCTGACAAGCCCAGACAATGCTTGAATGCTGTTGAGAGAGTCTTGGGACTCACACTGGGTGAATTGGTCAACAAGGGGTACCCGAATTATGGGAGGGAATGCTCACGGCTGTGTAAGAAAGATAACCGATTCATCCACGCTCTCTCCCAATGCTTTCCAGCTACTTGTTCCCGCACTCAGAACAATCAATGGAAGCGACGGTTTGATTTCCGAGATATCTGGTGTCGGCTCATTGGAGCCTTGTCGATAATACTTGTAATACTCATGCTCAGTAACAATAGCGAAATCTGGCCGTTCATGGTCAAGTTCTTCTTGGTTCAATACCCGTAATCCAAACCACCCCGACACCATATGTCGAAGGTTCGACAGGACATCTTCAAATGTTCGCGAGTCGAATCCTAGATCACCCATCTGAGAGCTCCTCGTGAATAATGAGATTGTCATGCCGTTCAGCTTATCTCTCAAGCCAGGATAGTCAGAGGATTGAATAGAGGTCGACCGTTCTGGCGGCGTGACAGGGAGAACAACATCTACATTTGTCCCTCGATCGACCTCACTTGTGAATTTGATCTGTCCATCCAAAGACCTCACAATTTGATGGACTAGATGAAGACCCACCCCTAAGCCAGGAGAAGTGGTATCCTCTTGGAGAAAGGCACTGTACAAATGATTTCTAAGAAAGTCTTTAGACATGCCGCGCCCGGAATCACTGATCGTGATGTGAACTGCTGGTCTAGGGTCCTTGCCGTCTATAGTCAACGTTTCCTGCTTCATCAATAACCGAATGTACCCTGTGCGCGTGTACTTGAGAGCGTTGCCAAACAAATTCATCACCACTCTGCGCCAAGCGCCAGCATGAATACTGAACTGCCAACTGTCCTGCCACTCAATATCCACGATAGTCATCAGTCGAGACTCTGGGTTATTGGCATTGCTTTTCACGGTTACCTCATTATTGTCGTTTGGCCCACGGCGCTGATACTCTGCTCCGGCAAGAAGACCCTCAACCACCTCCTGGACCAATACGCCCAGGTCTTCATCTTGAAGAAAGCCAGGCACCGCTGATTGAGGCTTGGACACGTCCGTTCCTCTTTGTCTACCAGCCACATCTGACGGCCGTGGTCGGGTGAGAGTATTAATCTTAGCATAATCAAGAAGATGGTTTAACGTGTCCAACAGTGTCCTCCCGCAACTATATATGGTCTCGATCAACGACCGTTGCGCATAGGAGTTCACCATATCCTGGAGCAGCTCTACAGTCCCAAGCAAGCCATGCAAAGGCGACCGCAATTCATGAGATATGGAAGAAATGAAATCGCCTTTGGCTCGGTCGGCTGCCTCTAGGTCCAAGCGTGATACCTCGGCCATAACCGTGTTACTGAATGCCGCCATGTATGTTAGATCCTTTGGCTCCGACAACACTCTGCCCGGATCATCGGTCCAGACCAGATTAACTGTAAACCAGCGGCTTCGCTGGAAATCCCAGACTGGGAATATGGCAATGCATCTTGCGTCCGGTAGAACCTTCATCAGTTGCTTGATGTCCATAGTCTCCTGCTGAACATCCTTCTTCTGGGCATCTGTAGTCTGCGCACCCCGTCCACCACTCTCGGAGTAGTCCATCTCATCTGCTAGTCCCTCATAACTTAACGCGATGGAACCATCTTCCTCGATGTGAAAGATCTTCCCCCTGGGGTACTGATCAATGAGATGACTCACGAACGCACCAGATAGAGAAACATAATGGCTGTCCTTCAGGTTTTCCGCTTGGTCAGATGTAGACGAGGTGAAATGACCAAGGACCAGGCTTCTGGCCTCTTTTTCGTCGTCGGCGGAGCCTGGGAACCCAGACTCTGGGTATGAGGCCGAAGGGACTTGGTCCTCGTCTACTTTGTTGTCGATGCTGTATGCTCCTGGTGTATCATGCGTAGTCTCAGTAGAACCCACTGTTTGGCGACGAGCATACACGCTTGCATCGATGAACATTGCCCCTTCGACATCCAGTGCCTGATATATCAAAGAGGCAGCGCGGTTGACCACAGATCGCACACTGGAGGGGACAAGTGTTTCTTGAATTTGGCTAGTGGTAGGGGAAAGCCGCGGCCGCTGTCTTTTGCTCTTTTTGCTATCTGTCACATCCTCATCCCCACTGTTCGTTTCCTGTTGGTTCTCAAATTTTCGGACAGGGGATCTATATCTGTTCTTCTTTTGTTCTCCGGCTTTGGCTTTGGCTGCTTCTCCATCTTCATTCAGCCACTCCTGTTGATCCTCTTCCTCATCGGGGCTTGAACCAGAGACTTGTAATTGCTCCAATCGCCTGTTCACATGTGCCATCTGTGAACCATATTTTTTGTCCGCAGAATTTCGACCGTAGAACCACTCGGCCAGGTCTGACTTTCCTCTGACGAACAAACCCAGGGCCCGGACCATCTTCTCTTCGCGATACTCCTCTCGCATCGCTCGTTGCGACAGCAAGTAGTCCATAACCGTCGCCGAGAGTTCTTTCAGGAAGCGTACTTGTTCATCACTGACTCCATCCCGCGGCCGGTCGTCAAGTACTGCCACACTCCCAATGACATATGCATCCGGTGACTGGATTGGCACAGACACGTAAAATTTGTTATGCGGAAAACCAGATACCGATGGATGGTGTTTGAATCGCTCGTCTCCAGCCAGATCCGTCGCAACAAAAATGTCTTGTCCCTCCTCTACAAATGATCTTACTGCATGATAGCACATTGTGATCTTCTGGCGCGGGAGGCGACAGACGCCAAACCATAAGGCTTCTGTTCGCTCAGACTCCTCGGTACCGCGCAAACTAAGTCCCGGTGTGGCTTCTGCCACGACATGTTGCATGCTCTTATCAAAAAGTGATATCAATGCTCTTTGAGCGCCCATTCGTAGCGCAGCGAGTTGCGCAAAGACCGTCAAGACATTGTCGCGTGACACATTCGGATGGGTTCCAATCGACTGCTGAGCATGTTTCTCAGAATCTGAAAACCCCCAGTACGGAAGATAGCTGCATCATTGCATTGTTAGAACTATTTCACCCGGAGCGTTGCAACGGAATGGAGGGTCTAGTTACAGGTGCATCTCTCGTTCCCGGGCTCCCTCGCGATTGTAGGCGTACTTCCGAGGGCCCCCTTCCCAACCTCCCCTTGAACTGTCACGGGAATGCATTTCTCTTAGGGGGCTAGGCGTACTCCAGTCAGCACAGTGAAGAGTGTGTAGGATCACGTAGAATCACATTCAATGCCGTTAAAAATTGTGCTAACAACGAATTCTGATATCCGTTTTGTGGCAGATGCTATTGAAGGGAGATGTTCCATCGCTTGCTGCTCAACGAAGCAGAAGCAAAGGATGACAATATATACCACTTAATAATACTGTCGAGTAGAATCGGGGTCGTGAGGTGGAGATTCGTGAGGAGATTCGTAATTCATGTTATATTGCCAAACACCTCCTCGGGACGTAGGCCATTTCGCGGGCCGAATAGCGTCATTTGGTATAGTGTCTGGTGGAAGCCACACATATCCTAGGCCTCTTGGTGATGCTCGTCTTCGATGACGTATGGAAACAAATCTGGATTTCTGGCAACATCACAGATGTCGACATCTGATCTCTCCGATATTTGAGTGGAGATTCCGATCTGCCAGGGTTCCTTTGTCCACTGACGTCATTAGCCCGGCGTGTCGGAAAGACTCACCGCCTTCCCTTAACTACGTAAGGACGACACTTCTATTGGCTGTGGGGCCTCATCTTAAGAAAGAAATCGAATCAACCCGGCACCTTCATCGGGTATGCAAGTAGAGGGCACGGCATCACCAGCTGACCCTTTGCACCCGCGACTGTCCATCTTCTGATGCTTGCATTTATCGCATCCAACTTCTCCGCTGATTATAGTCGGACCATACCTTACGTTTAGTTTGCTGCCTACTACATCTTTCGTTAGCAGCACCTGTAGAGAACTATATATTTTCATAGGCGGTAGCAAATTCAGAAGACATTTCTCGACCGTTTCTATCACACAATAACTTTGGACTACTAGTCTATAATTTGAAGGAAGCTTACCGACAGATACGATTACTAATGGCTCAATCCATCTTACTATAACCTTGTTCAGGCTTAATGTCATGACTGAGGTGCTCTGCTTTCCTGTGTGCCTTATGGACAAAAGAGCTACTCTATCAGAGACTATCCGACTTTCGATTTCTCGAGGCTCGGCGAGACTACCTGGTATCCTACTGATATCTGTTTCTAATTTTTCCCTGTCTCTAAAATCTATTTTTACTCATTTATCCATATTTCCCTTACTCTGGCCAAGAGTAGAGTCACGTTGAGGTTGCCAACAGACCCCTTGCGCACATGGAGTCGCTAGCTACAGCCATATGAACATGGCAATGCACAACAACAGTACTCCGCAATAACACAATTTACACGTATTTCCGGCAAGACTCTGAATAAAATTTCCTATGCTCGAGGATGGCTTTTCTTTACTAGTAGATGCATTCTTTCCTAAAAGTTAGAGGGAGCATAGTTTAGACACAAGTCGCTCGCCGGCAGCCTATGTCCTCGCGGAGAAATCCCAACGCGCAATATTGTGCCTATTCATAAATATTAGGAGAAGTTAGCTCAGCTACTCCAGTACATCTTGGGCGCGAACGTAGATCTTGTGTATGCACATCCAATGTGATTTTGGTGTCGGAGCACCGGAGATACACTAAATCGAAAGGATCTTCAATAGGATTTCCAGAATAAGAGATGTAAACTTAAATGCTGCCATCCGCCCCACCGGGTTCGTCCAATCGAAGCGTGTTAACTTTAATGCTGACATCCGTACCGGACTTGGCATGGATGATAAGGATGGCTGAATGTATGAGATGGACGTCAATGAATTGCGATCTTGGGCTATATAAGGTCCGCATTTCCCAGTCTTGTTCGGTAGAAGGAGTTCAACAGATTCAAAATTACCAATCCTTCATCTTTTCTCTAAAGCAACAATGGGCTTGTTTTCGTCGTCAGAGCCCCCCTTGACCGAGGCTAATCTTAGTGACCAAAGTGGCAAGGTATGCTAACGACACTTTGAATAACGTCTATTATACTGACATAGTGGACAACCTAGACATTCCTTGTGACTGGTGCTACCTCAGGATATGGCATGCACCTAGCAACCATTCTCTATCAACATGGTGGTAAAGTATATCTTGCTGCTCGCAATGCCTCCAGAGCGCAAAGCGTAATCGACGATATCATGGCACGCTATCCTGAATCTAAAGGGCAAATTGTCTACTTACATCTCGATCTCGGTGATCTATCGACTATCAAAAAGTCAACCGAGGAGTTCCTGGCGAAGGAATCCAAGCTCCACGTTCTCTGGAATAATGCCGGCGTGATGATCCCTCCACAAGGATCCACAACGGCTCAGGGCTATGAGCTTCAGCTTGGCACGAATGTTCTCGGCCCATTTCTTTTTACCAAACTGCTCTATCCAGCTCTTGCCAGAGCTGCAGCAGACTCTCCTCCGGACTCAGTCCGCGTGGTATGGTTATCCTCTTCGGCAGTGAGGATGGCCCCTAACCCGGCGATTGATTTCTCGAATATGGACTACCACAAGGACGAGGGAGCGTGGACAAAATACGCGAGAAGCAAAGCCGCGAATGTCCTGCTAGCCGTGGAGTTTGCGCGGCGCTCTGAGAGGGACGGTGTCGGCAGCATCGTGGGTCTTCCGAGCAATATCGTTCCATGGAGCTTTGCTGATTCAAAATAGACACTCGATCCAGGCACTGCAATGACCGACCTACAGAGAACAATGCCATGCTGGCAACAAGCTGCCGTTGTAAGTTTAACTCACTCGCCAACAATGTTATTGCTAATGCTCCGATAGAAACTAGTTGCACAACAACCAGAAGTGGGCGCTTATACCGAGCTGTATGCCGGTCTTCAGCCTGATATCGAATCCGTTAAGTCTGGAAAATGGAGTAGGTCCCAAACCCCAACATAATCCCTACGTAATAAGTTTAACAGGTGCTGTAGTTGTCCCTCCGGGAAAGGTGGTAGCAGGTCGCAAAGACCTCTTTGATCCAGAGTTGTGTGAGAAGTTTTGGAAATGGAATGAGGAGCAGGTCCAGTCGTACTTGTGACGGGTTGTCTTTTAAGAAGTATTTGATTTGTTAACCTTATAATTTAATTTGATGAACACTTTGGCACGGAGTCGAAAACTACGCAAGGGTGAAATGATTGTAGACCTTGTAACTAAGGCATCAATTCTTTAAAGCCGATTATCTCCGGCTTATTCCCGAAAGACGCGTGACGTCTTCTCTCGTTCTTCGACCACCTTGTAATATCTCGGCAGTCTTAGTTCAACAATAGCCTCCTTTACTATCCCTAATGTCGGAAGACACAAAGTATCCATACCCATGGATGCGGGAACGGAGAAGAGAGCAAAATGCACGGGCTAAGCGGCGAAGTCGTAAGTATCCGTTACGTGCTGTTACTAGACAACTAACCGACGAGAGGAAGGTCAGCGACAAAAGGCGCAACAAGTAGCAGACCTCGAAGTTGTGAAGCGGCGCGAGAGTCGGCTCAAGCTAGTTCCTCCAACAGACTCTGGTCCTCTCTGTCGCGTTAGCAGCCACTCTGCAATGTGAGAATATGGAATCAGATCACATGATGCAAACCAGAGGCTCACATAAACCAGCTCGCCTTGCTGTATACAAGAGCATAGAAGTGCTAGACCACACCTTTTATTTCGAGAGCTTCTAGACTCTTTCGCTAGCGTTTCTGATCTAGAGAACGTTGCGAAAATCCTCGACGTGGAACAACTCGGAATTGCTGCCATCTTGAAATATGGTATTATTTCGATGGGCGGAGCCCTTGACGACAGTTTGCTGGACGTAGCAAATCAAACATGCTTTTGTTGCTGGCTTGAGTTGATCGTATCCGATCTCAAATCCCCTTTTAACATCGGCTTGGCTTTGTACTCCGGGGTTCGTCGTCTATCGCAAATGAAAGGTCCTCCTCGGTGGAGCATCGAAGCCGTAGGCATTCCTACGGCAAGAAAGCTGTTGCAAATCGAACCGAAGTGCAGCGACCTGAGAACAATCAGACTCACTAGCTTCTCAAGTACTTCTGCCTTTCTCGAAAATGCCAGGCAGCTGGGGTTATCCATCGGCGATTTTGTAGATGACAATTCGGAATCGCCATTTTGTTCAAGAATTGGAGATGTTCGCCGGTACCAGCCTATTTCCTACCAAGCCTTGGCTGCAGATCTCCAGCCCACTCCGGAGCAAATGAGGATCCCCCATCACCCCTATCTGGACATTGTACCATTTCCCTCCTTTCGTGCCAAAGCATTGACAGCAATTTCATCCGGGACGCCAGCGTTCAGCGAGGATGAGCTATGTTTTGACCTGGCGCATGATAGCATGCGGTGTTGGGGTTCGACCGCAACTTCTTTACATGGCCGTGGAAACGGGACTCCTTGGGATGCACGCAGCTGGGAGGTCTCTCCTTGGTTTTTGAAGAAATGGGGGTTTCTTGTCGGAAACGAGGATGACACTATCCATCAAAACAGTCTCTGGTGGTGGTCCCAGAGGTAGACTCAATGTTGGGCAAGGTTGCTGTACGGCAAGCTGCACTTCTCAACATCCATTAACAGCGGAATCGGTAAAGGTTGCTGAGAGGAGGCAGAAAAGGTCTCGTATCTTTTCGCACAATTGATTGATTTGTTATTTCTGCAGATTTCGGTTATGTTTTATATCCCATGAGTCTAAAACTCTTACTCCATTTTCTGGCAATTTCCTTTGTATTTCCATTTCCAGACATACATCATAATCTCACTAGTTGATGAAGAGATTTGCTTGCGGACTTTAGCCCCCCCCTTCACCCGAAGACTTTTAAGCTGTCATATGGAGTTCTCCATGCTGCAACCCAGCTTCTCAAGCGTGGCGGGAGTAACCGGTATGGCTACCACTATAGTAGTATATACAGCGGGAATAGAATGGCACAAATAATACCCAGGAAGCCGCCTTGCCATGATGGCTCTGCCCGGACACTGTTCCCAAGGATTCTATCCTCGAGGTTCTTCGTAATATTCCTCGCTTCTTCTATGGTGAGATCCCGGTAGCATTGGGTTATCTGCCACCAGCTCTTTCCACAGTGGTTCCCAGGACTACAGTAGCGACCGTTGTCACAGCATTGGCCGCCTTTCGGATAGCATCCTCCATCACAGCACACCTCATTCGGCGGGCAAGGCTGGTTTGGACAGCATGTGTAACCAGGTCGCAGGCAGAAACCATATTGACAACAGAGAGTGCCGGTCGGACAGCAGCCTCCGATATCTATAGGCAGAACGAATGTCAAATTTTGGCACGTAATATGAGCAGATGCACCTTCACGTACTCGCACAATAACCGAAGCCAGTGCCGCACTGGACGCTTTCGTCATGAGTTGATCTCTGAATCAAAGGTGCCACAGGCCCAGCCTCGAAGGCTTCTGCAGATACGTTGCTCAGAAGGTCATGTGTGTCGGTAACAAACAAATTAGCCTCTCGCTGGCCCAAAACATGGGTGGGTGCAACGAGCAAAACGAATAGGTAGGGGATGAGGTGCCGGTCTGCCATAGCGGCCATGTCGAACGTCAAAGATTACTACGGAGCCTTTGTTACTTTGGAAGAGAACGGCAATAAGAAGTGAATAAAGAACGTGTTGCCCGTGGTGGGCCACTGGGACTAATAAGCCAACAGTCCCTGCGCCACGCAAAGCCAAGACCATGACTACAAAGAATACGACAAGGGAAGGCTGAATAAGATCAAGAAGGAACCTCTCCTACTGGACATGGGGCAACAGCAGATTACTGTTGCGTGTAACATACCGTAGTATTCCCACTGGTGGTCAGTGTCCTGGGGCTCCGTTGGCGTGATATGGACAACACCTATAGGTTAGCTTACTTTCTACAATCAAACTCACTATAACACATATCCTTCTTCCTTCTCCTTTATACCGCTGAGTATCTACTATATTAGAGCCACCAACTCTTCTACTAATTCTCTATTGAAACTGGTAGTGCCAACCTAGATTCAATAACTAGAAAGATATGAGCAGCTAGTTTATTGAATATGTAACATCAGCCAAACCTTGGCCTTTGCTTTGCACTTATACAATATAATACCTACGTTTGCAATGTTAGGACTGTTGAACAGTAGGATGAATGTAAGCATATCAATGGTAGATATTCAGTATCCCAGCACAGCTCACTCATGAACATCATATACCCTAAAGCATTGACCTCGTAGCCCAAGCCGACCCTTTTAGACTAACTTGACAGACAGCTCTGTCCGGACCAAAGGTACCGTAGTGGCTCTAAATATAATATGAGTGCCATGTACGAGAGTGTCATGTACGAGTAACAATCGATATAGTCTTTCATACCTCTGGTTTTCCTGCTGGATAGTCTGTCTCCTTACTGGCATAGTCCCTCAAAGTCTCGGTAATCCGGATTGGTGCCAGCAGCTGACCTGCAGCAAGTCTTAAAAGCACCTAAAGCCGTCTTATCCTTGAAATGTTGACACACTCGAACACCAGACCTTGTCGATATGGCCCCATGGTTCTTCATACAACACATTTTAGTCCACTCCCCGGCAACCTGGGGGAATTGGTTGGCTCCATCGTCGCAGCGACAAACGCCTTTAGGAGGTGGAGTAGGCGGTCTTTGGTTAACGAAGGGGGGAGGAGGTGTACCAGCTGCATAAGCAGAAACCACGAAGGTCGAGATCAACAGAGTAATGGAGAACCGCATATTGAATATGAGTAGTAAACGTCAGGAGGGCTAGTGGAGGCCTTTTGATGTAGATACTATCGTTAGATAGGAATGGGCTTGAGGAATAATTTCCAGGGTGACAAGAGGTTTTCCTGGTCTTTTATATTTCATTACTGGCGGGCTATGTTTCTTTCTCACTGATCCTGGAACGTTGCTTTGGGTTCTGCGGTCTAGCAAAAATTGTGATCCTTGCTATCAGGGCAAGGGTTGGAAGTATTGGAGATCTAAACCTGCGACAAAGGCAGTGTGGATCCAGATCCAACCTGTAATTTCCACCAAAAGCAAGTCCCACGGAAAGGGTTGTCTTGTGGATGTGTAGTATCCTTTCCTTGACGTCTCCAGAAGTCAGATGAGGCAAGGCTTAGAACTGTCAAGCATCTGTGATTGTATGCTCCGTATCCACTGATAAAGCTGAGAAGTCTTTAATCTGTTGTCACAACTGTGTTTGCCTTCCTAAATGACCATTTACCATGGCTATCCAACCTTTGTGAGGGAGCGTCAGAGATGTAATAGCTAGCTGCGCTGTGATATCGTTGCAGGTGACATTGAAAATCTGAGATTCTGAATCCCTTGTGCCGTTCACTTTCTCCACCCTTGACAAACACTCTTGTTGCTGTTGCAAATGATATCAAGCAAGCATTCTGAGTAGTAGGATTGTAGAGTTCGCACTACGATCCCGACCGAACACCTTGCATAGAAACTGGGCGTTCGGGCGTCGGGTGTAAGAGGTACATCGGGCGCATGCAGGATACCGGGCATATTCAGCTTTGATAAATCACACAAAGCAACTAGTTAATAGACTTTCGGATGGAAATGATCTGCTCGTGGTGGAAACGCTTCTTGACAAAAGCCGCGCGAGTTTAAGCGCTGATGTCGGAGAATGAGAGTCCTTAATACTAGTTCTACTAGGTCCACTGGTCTGCTACCACTTCGAAAGCCGGAGGAGTGCTGTCTCTAGTTATTAATAGAGTCAAAGTGCCCTTTGTCCATCTTATTTAGATTTTATGGAAGCCAAAGGAATTGGTTGTTGATGCGGTGTTGCCAAGACGATATCACGACTACACTGCTGTTTAGGATAACACCGGTGAAATAGAACTCACGTTATTATCTGCGATAACTTAAGTGTGCGCGTTTCCTAGAATAATGACTGTGCAGTCGGCTAGGGTGATCTAATCTAGGATCCGAAACGCTGGCAGTGCACCTCTGAGCAAGACATCGCAAGTACTGCTCGTGGGCAGTCGCGTTCAGGTCGCCCCTGTTCCTGCTTCAATACATTGAGGCTTTCCAGCCAAGTAAGGCTTCGGCAGATTAGTTAACAATAAAACTTTCATCTTTCATCTTGAGGTGGTTTTTGTGGCAGACCTTCTACGTGTAGGAAGAAGAGGGCAGCAAAGAAGTGGCTACCAGGTAGCATGTCGGTGAGAAAAACAATCATAACTTGGTCTTAAAAGTGTTATGTCTTCCAATACCAGGGGGATCCAAACCTGATATCCAACCTGCCTTTCTTTGCAAGTCTTCGGGAAGCAAATGGCTGAACATGGGCTGGTATCAACTGTTTCCTACAGGTCTGAATCGGTACCCATCACAGAGTCATATGAAGGATTTCCAGCCAGTGGCCCTCAGTGGCCCGGGCTACGGCCCCTTCGCTATGACGCCGACAGGGGAGCACCGCATGTACGAGTTGGAGTCCGAGTTGTTCAGATGGACAGTTAAAGCCTTGCTCCTGTGTCACCAACTCTTCAGCGGATCATGCCGAACATAGCTTTCTACATACTCGTTCTCGAAGCTCAACATCAAATTCGATAGTGAGAAACGCTGCAAGCAATTAAGTGGTGCAGTAGAGATAAAGGAATGAAATACCCTCAGGTATCTCTCGACAAAGGTTCGCTACTAGTGCGGCACAACTTGTTCACCATGGCTTCTCTTGGAGCTAGAACTAGCCGGAGCCTCAACGTTCCGAAAGCCTTCTTTCCGACTTGGACAGGCTATGGCTCAGACTATGACTACTCGCGTAACATCGTATACCCTCAACACTGGTATGAAAGCCCCGGCTCTCGGCTTTGGCACATTCCAAAAACCCAATGCTCAGGAAGCGACTGTCAGTATGGCCTTGCAGAAGGGTATGCGTCTAACTGATACAGCTTGAGTTTACAATGTTGAAGTACAAGTCGGGAAGGGAATCCAGAGGGGCGGGATCTCTCAGAAAGATATCTTTTTCTACACAAAGCTGTGGTGCAATGATTACCACCCTGACGATGTGGAAAGCGTGTTAGATAACTCGCTGCGCGACCTGGATACCATATATATTAACCTTTTGATGATACACTACCCGTGCACCTTCAAACAGTGACCCGACCCTTTTCCTCGGGATGTGGATAGAAAAATAGTATTGTGTGATACCACATTCCTAGACACGTAGAGCCATGGAAAAGCTGACCGGGACTGGCAAGGTCAGCGGTATTGGGGTGTCGAATTTCAGTAAAGGCGAAATGGAGACTCTGCTTAAGGAATCGTCAACGGTCAGTATGTTGGCTCAGTCTCAAATAATGTCGGACTAATATACTGCATAAGTCCCAGCTGTTGATCAAATAGAGGTTGACCCGTATTTGCAGCACAAGAGCTTTGCCGAGTGGCTGCAGGCAAAGGTGATCCATGGGGTGCAGTTCAGCCCGTTGGGCAACATGAACGACTTCTACCGACAGACGGGGTGGTCCAAGGATATTGTGCAGATGAGGCGAGTAATGGGCCAACTGATTCTAAAGGACATTGGCCACAAGTATGGCAAGAGCCCGGTACAGGTCGTCCTCGTATGGGGTATCAATCGCCGCCGTTCTGTTATCCCGAAAAGTGTTGTCGATTGGCAAATTGAGAAAAGCCTGGCAGCCGACTTGGAGCTGCAGGCTGAGGACATGGCTCAGGTTGCTACACTGGACGCAAAAGCTTGCTTCAATGATCCCAGCCTGGACTACAAGTGGCAATTGTATCGTGACCTGGAAGGCGGTTGACGGCACCATGAAGGGAAGAGCTCACTAGCCTCCTCTGCTCTAGAGTACTCGTCCATACATTACGTTTTTTCAAGTTTTAGTGTACGTCTGATAATTAAATGAGTAAATAGACTTGACTGACTGTTCTTTTTTTGACAGTTCAATCCAAGTTAGGTCTCTGAATAGCGAGGGACGGATGGAGGATGATCTCATGCCGCCAGAGTAAGCAAGTAACAGTTAGGTACTGTAGAGACATAAAACAACGACGACAGCACTCTTCCTTAAATATTTCACTGCGTGATCTTATAACAAATCATGGTTGCCGACGGTTCGGTTCACTCCCGATAAGCTTGGGACTCGGCAGCCTCCCGATCATTGGCATCGGCAGTGCCGACAGAATTATGCACGGTCGTGGAGCTCAAGTGGAGTTCTCCAACGTGACAGGCAATGTTGTCGAGCAGTTGATTGTCGAACTATGGATGTTTGAGCCCCAGAATTTGGCTCGAAGGGGGAACAGGCCGGACGATCGACTCGGGATCTTCCGATCAATAGTGCGGAAGAACCGATAGACAAAATGTGACTGGTATCCTAATAACACTCCCATACTAGACAATTCTAAATTTTGGTCTTTCATTCAGCTTGAGTATTTGCAAGGACCAAAGTAGAGGCATCGGTTAGGGGCGTATTAGATTAGGAGTACCTAAAAGCCTTCTCCTGTGCCTACTCCATAATGATATAAGCAACTTGTACATTATGCCAAGGTAACTACAGATTGGGAAGGTAGTATTGGATTGATGATCTCTATCGGACTGCCAAAAGAGGCAATCCATACACAGGACTCATATTCTCCTCCAATCCCTGAATGGCTTTTATTTGTATGATCTTGAAGGATCCTCTAATTGTTTCTCCATGCTAACGACACTAGCCCGCTACTAGTTTCAGAAGGTCATGCTGGTCCTCCCGGAGCCTGGGCATCGTAAGAACCCACAGAATTGGGATATCGGTTGAAGCAAGGTCCACATGTGATTGAGAGCCATACGCGCTCCTTTGAACCGTATGTCCAATGGATGCCACTTCCATTGTTTCCATAATTCATCCTTCACCGCTAGCTGCTCCGGTAGTAGTTGTCCAGAAGAGGTACTGCATCAGGGATGACCTTTTGAAGACCTTGTTAGTATTATTAGAATACTGCACCATGCGTGAATAAAATGCTCTCCAGCCGCACTAACATTTGCAATGCAGTGCATATGGATTTCAAGGTATTTAGTAGACTAGCTTAATGTTCATCAACCGACTCGAGCATGAACCGAGAGAAGATTATCCAAAGGTAGTTCGGAAGCAAATTCGGAGAGGAGATGGCCGTAAATCGATGGCTTCCCCATTCAACTGGTCCTTTGCTATTGAACTACTTCTAGCTTCCAGTAAGTGATCGGGTGCTTCTGGTTTGAGCATAGAGGAGCCTGACGGTCCCACTTTAACGTGGGGACCTTTGCAATCCACCGGAAATACTGTATCTTCCGCCTAACGGCGCCCAGCAACCGCCAAGGATGCGCTGGCGGAAATCGACTCAGCACCGGGAGTATCCACTATGTGGCTGTGATTGAAACGGGTGGATCCCAGTGCTCTGCAGCTAGGGAAGCTTCCGACTGTAGGTGCCTTGGTAGTTTGGCATGAAAGAAGGGCAAAAGGGAGTACGCTTGCTGTCACGAGCCTCTGGGGAACGATATACTCCACAGCTAAGACCTAAATTTCAAGACATCATGCAACGTGCCCAGAACCAAATCATCGCCTTGGGGGCCAAATCCTGCTATGATGATCTATACCGAGATTGAGCGCAGCATACCCAACCGCATGAATAACGAGACCTCCTAAAATCGCTCGGAGAAAGCTATATAAGTGACCATCTCCCCTAGGAATAAAGATAGAATCATCAAGCAATCATCCCTCAGTCAAGCCAACTACCTCATATCCTTTTACCGGTATCTCTTCATTAATCAGTCAAAATGGTTAAGATTCTCTGCCTCGCTGCCTTGGGCCTTGCTGCCCTTTCTCAGGCTACTAAGCTGGTATGCCATCTTCCATTTATCTGTTCCCAACTGCTGTCTAATCCTCAATAGCACGTCAACAACGGTTACATTACCGTCGACGACGCCGCTGTCCGCAGCTCCATTGACGTCAGCCCTCCTGTGAACATTTACGCCCGGTTCGATGGCAGCTCCAACAAGGAAAAGGCCAAGCCTGGCTGCAAGCTGGAGGGGGCGTCATGGGAAAGCAGCTATGGTGATATTTACTTTGGCGAGGACAACTGCCTCTATGACTCCAAGGGTAAGCTTGTCTTAGTAGTTCTATCCTGGATCGATGTGATAACTGACTCCATTCAATAGGCCAGAACATCAACGGCCAGTGCTGCAAGCCAGAGGGTAATCTGCCCGAGGTCAAGAACCCCTACTACGGCTAAGCTGGATTTTATATTCGATGAGGCGGTGGAGGATGGAGAATGATAGGACCATTCATGTACTCTACTGGTGAAGTTCATGTCATATGTATGGCGAATGGAATACACTTTAAATCTTTATAAAAAGACGTGATGATTCTCCTATGGCTTCTGGTTCTCTGATGGACGTCTGCGATGATGAGAATCGGTGCCGCGGTCGTGCATAATACATCGTTACTTGTGGGTCGAGAGAAGTACAGCATCGAGGCTCTTGATGGGACTCTGTGGTGGGTCGGTGATGCAGCAGAGGAGAATGAGGTCGCTGGAAGATTGGCAGTGGACGGCCCGAGATTGCTAGTCTCTCGACAGAATCACCGGTTTGCATGTCACGAGGGTGACAGAGAGCCCATAAACACCCGTGGTAGGATGTGGCTTGAAGAAAAGGTCAAACTGGAGAGGATATGTTGACTTAGATCTATTCTATAGGCAGATTACATCACTGTCAACCACCCTTATCCAACCTGCCCCGGCTAATCTACATGCCATAGGAAAGAGCAACTAATTGGCTATAATACAGATCTGTCACTCATTTTGAGCTATTTTGCTCAAGTAATATAAACTTTGAAGTGAATAAGCATAACTAAACAGTGTCAAATAGGGCCGTCCCATCCTTCTCCAGACAGAAGTCCGACGAGTATTCTGAATGGGTGATACAGCTATTTAAAGGTAGGACAGTTTACCCTTGGGTAGGAAGACCTATAAAATCCCAGCCCCTCACCGGAAATACTTTTGGATGAGAAAAAAAAAAAAG